TATGTACACAAAGCACCGCTAATTAGTTCGTAACGCTCACATCGACACTACTGTCATTTACACAATGTACATGTGTGGGTAATTTCATATTACTGTGTATAAAAATATTCGTCCACCACGTTCACATTGGTATTTTCATTCTTGTGTCGGTATACGTATTTTTATAATTTAATGCATGGGTAAGGTTAAAACTATTTACAATCATTGATATGACCCGACATTTTCACTGTAATTATCGTAGTGCTCGTGGTCGATTGGTTAATGAGTACGCTTTTATCGTCTTTCAAGGATCAATGATGATGTGGGTTCTATTCCAGCTAAAAGTTTTTTTTTATTTTACCTTGTTGTTTTTCTTATTTATTTTTTTTTGTTTTTTGTCATATAATATAAATATCAGGCTATAAAAGAAGCAAATCAGTCGGTAAATAAAACAATACTATTTTTTATTAAAATTAATTTATTAATTATACAAATATGTGGTTTTATATTCAATATTTATATCTAATAATTAATTATATACCACATGTTAACTTTAAAGTTCTTCCAATCATTCTAAATTATTCTAAATAATAAATAACTAGAACTAAAATATAAATAAAGGATATTATAGGTATAAATAAATCTAAAGTATTTACTATTAAAATTAACATAAGATTTAGAAAAATAGGATAGGAAAAAAAGAAAAGATTTAATTGTTTCTAATTTCACATTTCAAATATTTGATTAATTAATACTAAAACAACATGTGAATGCTGGAATCGATCCGGTGGCACTTTACTTGACCACTGGAGGCGATAACCATTGCGCCAAGCGCGCCGTAGATGAGAACATCGAAATATTGTATATCATTCAGTAACATAAAAATACAATGAGAATGCACTATATTTATATAAGTATTGTATTGCTCGATCGTTCATTATTTTTGATTTCGATTTATTCAAAGTTTGTTATGAGTATTTTTATCTTTACCCTCGTTTTTATTTAAACTTATTTACTAAAATATTACGTATACCGACACAAAAATGATATGTAATACCAAGATGTGTGTGATAGAACGATAGTTTCTATACATATCTATTAATATGAAATTACCCACACATGTTCACTGTGTAAATGATAGTAATGTCGATGTGTAGCGCCTCGAACTAATTAGCGGTGCTTTGTGTACATAACTATTATGATGGTATACATACCTACCTGCATGTTTATATTTTTAAACTAGTATAGATAATTGTTTTAATTACGTTACGAAGTTATGCAATTTGAAAAAGGATTCGCTTAGTTAGACCACCCAGGATCAAATGCATTATTAATTCACATAAGTAATTTTTGAGGAGGCAAAGGTACTATCATGCATTGTTGATATTATTTACCATTTTCAATATAGTTCATAATAAAATTGAATAAGCTGGTAAACAAGCAGACTGACAGCACCTGATCAAAAGCAATCGACCCCCCATGAACTCCCAAAACACCAGTGTTATAATTACCGGCCTTTTTAGGAATTTGAGAATTGGAGGAATTCATAGGAGTACACACATAACATTGTTATATTAACCTATCCTAAAATAAAACAGGTAAATATTTAGCTTCTCATTCTCATTTTCTATGGTACAAGAATGAATGGGAAGAAAAAACAGTAAGGAGTAAGAAAAAATAGTGATGTGCCTAAACAAATTCTAATTCAAAGTTATTCGTCGAAAGTCGAACTCGAACAGCGCCACTGACACGCTTCATGTGAACTACACATGTTACGTCGATCGTCAACAGTCAACACGACGCACACGACAATTTAATTAGTGCTAAATAAATTATAGTAATTGTCAGTCAACTGAGGAGTTACGTTGATTACTTTCGTAGTAAGCAAGCTTATGTTAACAAAGATGATAAAAAATGTAGTAAACAGCTGTTTTAGGAAACTGACGTAGTTGTAGGTATGAGGTATCTAAGTACCTAAACTTTATCGTGTGTTAAGAATTTAGGTAAACACAATGACTATGATACAGATCCACGAGTCTCACACGAGATATTGGATAGGCAACTTATATTGCGCTCTTGTGAATGTTAATAATTATGATTTTTATTGTGCAAATTCTTTCAGCAGACTTATTATTCTTTCCCCAAAAACAACACTAGCGCCAAGATCACGATCTCCTTTGAGGAGAATTCGACAAGATTAGATATATCTATCATATTATTCCATGTGAAAAGTATTTTCAAATAAAATAAACAGAGCTCTGTGGAGTCGTCTCTTATTAAACAGGCCAGTCCCGTTCGCAAGGTCGTGTTCCATATTTCGCAACAACAGTTCGTGGAAAATATCTTCATAAACTGTTATAACTTGAGTTACGCTAACATTAACTATTTATCTTTCAGCTCTATTGGTTAAGGAGGCAGTGAGCTCTTATCAGTCACTCGTTTCACTACCCTGTCAATCGTCATGACGTATAGTAATGCGTCTTTTAACTCTCACGCTTGTTTATTTACGTACGGTACATACATATCTATTTACTTAAGGAACAAAAGTTTTGGTAAGCTATTAACATTATGTCGTTTTGGCCCGGAGGTTTTTTTGAGGGGGGAAAACCATTCAAAGACTTCTCTCGCCCGGGTAAAGCGAGAGGGAGTGTCAGACTCTTACTGACTAAAAGCACCCCATTCCCTCCCACTCCTGCACTTCGAGCCGGAGCCCCGGCCACCCGTTAAGTCCTCCGCGGCCCGAAGGCTTAAGACTGCTTCTCATGCTTGAGAGTACGCGTTCAAAACCGACCAACGGCGAGTACCAAGACTTTTTCTGCGGTGAAGGTAAACATCGTGAGGCAACCTGAGCGTATAATTTCTGATTATAAGTTTGAAATCGCCAACCTTCATTGAGCAAGTGTGGTGATTACAAGCTCAAAACCTTCTTCGTGTGAGAAGAGGCATTTGGTCAGCAGTGGGCATTTATAGGCTGTTGATGATGATGATGATGATTAACAAAGAACATCATTTTTATGTTCTCCTTTTCATAAGTTTTTCATAAAGCGTCGAGTACTTTATTAAACGTGTGTAAAGTTTTATTTTGTACACAAACGTGGCACGCGGTTATACACGTTGATGTTCCATTGTTCTAAACTCGTGATTTGCGAGTGCAAACCTTAGCCGAGATAATCATAGTTATCATTATCTGCAATCTGCACATTTATCTACAGTTTATAAAGGACCAAACGAACCTTTATTTTTTAAATTCATCTCACATTTAAATTAAATGGGAACGAAATTCACCTCTACTTAATTATTCTAAAGGTTACTTTCGTTTGAGGCATTCAAATGTTTTCTCTTACTTTATGAATGTCTACTTGTAACTGTTCCATTTAAAGTACAGTCATTGTACTCATAATTATCGTGCCACCTGTTCAGTCAGTTTTATATGTATTAATGTAAACTTTAATCATGTGTATTATCTTTTATAATATAAGCTAAATAGAGTAGGTAGGTGTAATGTATGAAGCGGTTTACTTTAACAAACAAATGGCTAACGGTTCTCCATTTTGTTTTGCTTATTAGTAAAACTGATAGTGTCTTTAGGGCAGGGTTGGTTTGAGTTAGTCAGATTAAACCACAAATCGTTTATGTAGCGAAACCGCCACAGTGCCACTTGGTCTGAAACTTTCCAGGGCAATGGCAGTTTTATTTTTAAAATCCCAGCAAACGCTTCAAAAAGCTACTCAACACTCACATCAAGTTAACAAGACAAAGACCAACTGTTTTGACATAATATTTAAAAGTAACGCAAGTTATTCATAAAGACCAGAAAATCAAATGGAAGTGAAACAAAAACAAAACCTTCCCACGTGTTCAGAGAACAATGACATCGGAAAGTTGTGAGAACGCGGTGCGATAGCGAAGAAAGTCGACAGAATACATGAAGCATCACCAACATTTTATTAATAGTGCTAAAAAGAGTTAACACGATACAGCAGCGCTAGTCCGTCACCCTCGCGCTCGGGGATAAGTAACGAGTTTCCTGGCAATACCGCGGAACGCGATTCAACCGTGAACTGTGCAAAAACGCAGCGCGCAGAGAAATTTGCTTCATGTTCAAGTTTTTGTTGCGTGTTGATTGCTACATAACGGATTTGTTTTTATACTGTTCGCTATGTTGCTGTAGATATTTTTCTTTGCTACCAAAATCTATGTAAAACTACCAATTTCACTGACTACACATCTATGCTTCTCACTCTATCCAAAAAACCCTTCTCAAAATACAGTTCCGCGAGACAAAAACTCGCAAACTAATTTACATGTTTTGGCGTTGTTAAAGAAATATGATGCGACACTTATAATACTAAAGAAAACCAAATTACAAATCGTTATTGTCTACATGGTAAAAATCTTCATCATAAATACTTATTGTTTCTCGACAAAAATATTCCGCGCTTACAGTGTCAGTTTTATCTGTCGACCGATGGATACTTTTCGCCGTAGTCATGTGTAATATGTGTCATTGTCCTTTTACGCTACAGGTCCTGGTGCACTGGTGGTCGGAGGCCGTCTCTGTCCGCTGCACGCACGTGCACGCCCCTGCGATCTCCGTCATACCATAGCGGTGATAGCGGGATTAGCGGGTGCTCTTCGGCTCGTTTCGTTACCTTTCGGTCTGCCTCGCGACTCGCTCGCGTCCCCAGCTTGGACGTGATTGCGAGAGCGAATGAGACCTCGTCCCCCTCCACCCGCCCGGGGACAGTACCTACTTGACTCAGTCTACCTCGAGCCTTGCCCGTGTGTGGACGTCTTGTCGCTCGCAAGAGCGATTTTGGCCGTCTCTTAATTCGTGTGTTCTCTTTTATTAACCTTAAATACTCTTGGAAGTTCCTAAAAAACTGGATTGTACGCTCCGTTGGAACCTTATAAAAGTGACTAAAGTTGGTTTTGTGGTGAATTGGTGACAGTGTATTGGAGCTGCTCGCGCTACGTCCGTCGTCGTGCCTGAGTTGGCGTCGTCCCTCCGATTCTCGCGAGGTAAATGCCGAGACTCCTCTGAGGAGAGCGATCGCATACGTGGACAGAAACCGGATTGCGGTGTCGTGCTTTTAAATAAAATCTAATTCTTAAAAAGTTTGTGCTAAGTAATTGGATTTGCTTCTCGCCACGATTGGCACGGAGCTGAACGAAGTTCAAAAGACGTGTACCGTTAGCCGACGTCGCGGTCGATGCCTGCCCGCGGAGGCTTTCTTTACTACAATATCTTCTGGTTGGTTTACACTACTTAAACTAGCTTCATCAGAAGTCAAACGAGACAGAACTGCAGTCTAATAAGCTACGAACATCGATCTTAAATAAACGATCGTTGCCATTGCCTGAGTTTAAAATAAGGAAATGTTTACCGTGTTAGCATGTTTCAATGCCATTATCTTGATAAAGACAGTTACGTATGCGGAAACAACGATGAGCAACTTTATTGTTCCTTAATCAGCTAAGAGTTGAACATCTGGCCTTTGTTAAGTAGAAAATTATGAAATGTGGAATGTGTGTACGGACTAGAAATCTAGTAGGAAGTGAATAAATAAAAAGCTAGGTTGTTTTCTTATTAGGAATATAATTTATCAGAATTGGTCTGGCTAAAAGGTATTCAGCTCTACAAATGGGCGTGGCAAGTGCCCAAGTGCTTCAAGGCTCTCGGGGACGGGTTTTTAAATCGTGCTCTCCGAGTGTGCCCACTTGAGAAGTTTCGACATCGCAGACGAGTGTTGGGTCACCAGATACTCGAGCTCTCACGATTCTGTTCAATCTGTTAACCATTTGCCTGAAGATAAATTGGTTAATAAAAAGAAAACGTCGTCAAAAATGTGTTACAGACATAAATAAACATACCTAGTTTATATTTTTTGCTGGCTGGGCTGTACGAACACCTCGACTATACGTTAGAAGTGGGAACGACGAGCGACACGATGGAACAATTGGTCTAAGAACGCCTGCAGTCACGTGAAAATTAAAAAAAATAATGTGCAAACCGATATGAAGCACTTTTTATGTTACCTCATAAAATGGGGTGTTTTATATTTTTCATTTGGTCTACCGTAAAATCAATACGATTTTAAGGATACTGGACAGGACATTTTTTGAGTTTGGTATTCCCCAATGAGATAAGTGAGTCTGACAAATAATATTTAACATAACAGGAAAAACTAGGCTGATGTTAAACAATAGCGGCATTAGTGATTACTATGTGAGTTTTATAACGTGTAGATACAAATGTGTAATATTGGCGGAGGTAATCCCGAGGAATGCGAACGCGGCGGTATCACTACGAAGTGGAAACTTAGGACCAGTAGTCAATATACTATGTGAATGCATTAGACAGAGAGGCGAAGAAAGAACGATATATGATGTTGGTCGTGCTTTCTCAACATTACGTCTATTTATAGAAGGATGCCATGCGCGATGAGCTGGGGCGGTCGGACTGAGCCAACTAACTAGGTCGCGATATTTGCGCGCGTACCTGGACATGCGCAAGCGACGCGTAGTCAATGACACTGTGCGAAGGACGTAAAAAATATACGACTATCTAGGCCACCTCAATTTCAAAGTAATCAAAATATTCCGAAACATCGGACTTGATGAATTGGGTATATGAATTGGGTTTATAGTGACAAGATTTATTAGAAGAAAAATTAAAAATATTTGAACATTTCAAATGTGATATTAATCTTGGGCATGGGAGATGAAAAATTTCAAAGAATGCCCCAAATAAACAGGTCAATCTCCCAAAATAACGTGAGCAACCGGAAGTTTTGTGAATCATACTTGCATCTCGATGTTGAATTTTAATTATTGTTCGTAATATTTTGAAAGGTAAAACTGAGACTTTTTTCAAGACAAAGACCAAGTTCATGAAACGATCTTGATGAAATGGGTCCAAAGATCTAATTCAAGACAATATCTTTGGCTAACAATAAAGTTACGCGGCCCTTTGTCGTAGTTGGCAAAATGTCACTTGTTTCTGTGACGAAGGGCGGAGGCAGTGAACGACCGAAATATGGCGTGAAAGATAATTTCTCGCGGTTGGAACGATGTCGTCAGCTGATAGCCAGAGGTTAATGGCCTCGACTTTGTCTCGATGCTCACACTCGTATCGTCCTGTCCGACACAAGTTAGGTCGGTGGGTTATCGGATTATTTTGTTGATACAGTAGATTCAAATCGATTCAATGATTCCGTTCAAGAATTTGTTTACCAACGCCGCGAGATCCATGCGAATGAAACCGTACTTGTAAGCTATGATCATTCTAACAATGCAATATGTTGCTATTAGTGGACAGCTGTACATCAAACAATGATAAATTTTCGATGATTCGATTCTATTGATTGACAAGAATTATGTGGTAATGATCTTATATTTTTAGCACCAACATATGTAACTACTCAGACTCGGACAGTCTTAACCTTGTTGCAAATTGTTGCTGAAATGTCCAAAATATGTTTAAAAATGGCACTTGCACGGTAATCAATAGTCGCAGTGTAAAAGGAAACAGACATTGTGATATCGGGGCCCATGACGTCACATCCTCACGAACAAGCAAGGTTAGGCGTTCGGCAGTAATTGAGCAAGATTGCCTTACACGCGTCCATGATTCATAATAATTCATCGCAAGAGCTGACTGTATATCTGATTTATGTCCAATAATTCGAGGGACTTGGATTCTAACTCTTTTCTCGAAAAAATATTTACTTACATATAAAACAAATGAACGTTTTCATTGTAAACCTCATAATATATTTTGAATATTTATGATACAAGTTACACATTCATATGGTAATTGGTTTTATTGTCAAGATGATTCTTGCATAGTAAACAGTTGATCGAATTGAATCGACTCTATTGTTAGATATTTCCTTTGGGTGTCTTTATCATTATGTATCTCTAATTTAATCATACGATATGTATTGCTAATTGTCAATCATTAAAAATATCAAGTAAAACGTTATAAATAATTTCACATGTATATTTTAAAAGTTATAAGTAACTGCGTATACGCAAATGAATATTTCTAAGTAATCCCCTTTTGTTATACTATTTGTGCTCTATACCAGGGATCCAATAAAACATAACACTAAAATAATCCGTTTAAATACAGTGTAGGACCAAAAATCGTGCCTTGCGACAACCTTGTATTCTATCTGTTAGTATTGTAAAGAAATAAAGTATTCTAGCAATTTGCCATAGTAACATAAAAGTATCCTTAGGAAAATACCCTTAAATGCTTATTTTTCTAGAAAATATTCTTGTAACACTATACTTGTAATATTAACTAAGTTATTTCATAACAGCAAAAGCAATTTTAACGTCCCGGACGCGGAGAAAATTAACAAAAAGTAATAAAGAGCAGGTATCTCTGGAAAATATAAATAAGCATCATTTACAAAGTATCTTCTGCGTCCGCCATTGCCGAGGGCAACTAAGTTATCGATGTTTGAGAGCAGACTTAACTCAATAATGTTTTATAAACAGCTTTGTTGCCAGTCCGCTGACCGTGCGTGGCTGGTGCAGCGCTCTTCTACTCTGTCGAAGTGAATTGATTGGCTATCAATACAAAGTCCAGGGCATAACACAATCACGACGAACCTGCAGTATCATAAAGACAAGTGCTTTATACCTTTGACAATATATGTTTTTAACACAATTATCTTCGTCACACTGTTTGCACTTGGTACTCACATTAAACAAAAATAAATGCTGTCAGCCTCTCTACATTTAGAGTTTCAAGTTATAGCCCTTAACCACTAACCAATGAAAGTGTTAGCAAAGGAAGTCCCATTGCGTTCTGTCAGCTAAATACTTGTTGCATATTTATTACTATGCTTTATATGCATAGGTCACAACTACGTATCTTTGTTACGGCCTTCCTTAAAGTGACCAGACCTACAACTTTATTATTGAGTCGTGATTACAATTTTACAACCATTTCTACTAGGTAAACACAGGCTGCTTGTAACACAGTTTACGTAATAGCATTATTATAATGCATAATATTGTTAAACAGGAAACGAATTCTGTAATAATAGTTCGCGTGATCATCATGTATGTAGGTGATACAGTTCGGAGCGATGCAAGTTCCGGATGCGGAGCGCAGGCGCACGTTGCGAAACCGTCAGTGGCCTCAATCTACGATCAGGGTCAGCGTTGTGATTGCTTTTTCAAACAATATTCGTTGACATTGGCTTTAATTTTAATGCAATCCTTGATTTATCCTTCCTTGCTATAACGGGTATAACTTTTGATAACACTATAGATGAGGGTACTTGACTAGACTATACGAGTATACGCTGTTTTACATGTTAATTTCGATAAATTATTGCTTGCTAGTACCTACTTAATTAAAAGTAATCGAGTTTGAATGAGGAAATCAGTATGGACAAACTATTTAAAATATTTTACGTAATGACTGTTTTAAATACTGGAGCAATTATACCTCTAGATAGGTACTTCAAACTGAATCTGGTGTCTTATAAGTACTTAGTTGTTATTTGCAAACTGGCGGCTCCGCAGACATACTGACTGAAACTTCAAAAACGAGTAATTAGCCTAGTATTAGTTATAACAGTTAGAACAGGTTGTGCAAAGATTTAACGAGGCGACGCCGACAGCAGCGACCATCGGCCACCGCGGCCACTTTCACCGCCGCCATCTTGCGTCGGCCATGTCGTGCGTTTGCGCCGTTCATTGACGAATTGGCACGCCTATTGTTGCTCGTGACGTCACGCACGTCACTAATGTTTCAGTAATATCTTAAAAGACTGTCTTGTCTTGGCACCGTTTTAGATTTTATTATGAAATACTGAAATACCGTATAGGAAGAACGCTCACTGTGCGCCGCCTCAAAATCTTATAAGAATCAAGATGAAAAATGTGACTGAATATGAATATATTATTTAGTATATGACAAATGGATAATTTATTCGTCCATCGCAAATGGCTTCGATCTTTGACTAATAATATAAAATTGTGCCTGTGCAATGTCAATGAGGATTTCTTTATGATCCTCTTGACTTTTCTTGGCCATAAAAGTTTCTGCGTAAAGGCTATCATTATTCTAATAAACTGGCTTTAGAAGTGGATTGTGTTAACATGTGGCTATATGATATTAAACACACAAATCTCCAGAATCACCTATGTCAAAGACTAATCGTGTTACTGGCGCGCTCTCCTAACCCAAGAACTCGGTATAAAGACGACGTTAGAGATGTCCCGTAATGGACTGGTCAGCAAATACGGCGCGAGGTAAAGAAAACACTGGCGCATCGGTTATGGAGACAGGCTGCATTCCGCATAATCCTCAGTGCCAGTAGGTTACCATGTGGTTACGTTACATTCGCGCAGTACTCCATGCATTTACGCTGCGGTTAACTCGCTATTTATACAATTTCGATCAACGAAAGCTGTTTCGTTTCATATTGACAGTTCATTGCGAAAGACGATACCGTTTAATTTACCGAGCACTCCCCTGACCCGCTGAATATCGGGATTTAACTCTCGTACGTTTTATCATGAGTCAATGATACTAAATGACGTAAGGAGTTCTGTTGTGAATCAACAGTTTTGTTGTTTTCTTATTGGTAATACCTACCCAGCTATATGTATGTTTTAATATGGTTCCTCTTTTGTTTACGTTGCTCCACACTAGGATATTTTTCTGTGTCGTGTGTGCGTTTACAAACATACAAGGTCCGGAACACCAATCTGTGGATCACACAAAGAGTTGTTCCGTGCGGGAATCGAACCCGCGACACGTTGCATGGCAGCCAGTTGCGCAGCTACCGCGCCAACCGTGCAGTCATGATCAGTCCTTGATTTGGTATTATCCTAATATCGTTAAATCGGTGCAGAAACATTATCATTAGAAGATTTCCTTTCATTTCTTTTTGGGCTCTTGCGGTGGGGTCGTCATCATCATATGAGCCACAAACATCTACAATATTGACACTTGTATTATATCTCCTTTGGTTACTCATAGTTATGTAACTTCTGAATTCAAACTGTAAGTTATGCTTTGTTCGCGCTACCCTTGTATTTTAGTCGAGTGACGAGTATTTAGTAGCCTTCTCTCGCTTCTGTCCCAAAATCGAAGCGAGAGAGAACTATTAAAAACTCACTACTCGACTAAAATACTAGCGCAGTGCGAACAAGGCTTTAAGTATATCAAAATAGAATAGCGTTCCGGAAAACAATGGTCAAAAACCACAGAATGTAGGGTAACTAAACGATGTGTTTTATCAATTTTATGAATTATCCTTGAATTTATTGCTATTTTCCGAACTGTTATCAATTAACCAATTACATTTCCTTATCCCTTTGCAGTAAACTGTTTTAAATGTACCTGATACAGCATTAAGGACAGCCTCGAACACGACAAAAAAGAATTCATCTATTTTGGTGCAGATAGAAGTTCAATTTTTATGATTGCATAGTTAAGTTAATAACTGGCAGAGATTGGTCATCTGACTTCGGCTAACATCGGCCCTACTCGGGACCTCGGGTAAAATGTTTGTTGCAAAATGTTCTCTAGCACCGTTCCACGTGTAGGTACGGCTGTTCTCCGGGGAACCTTTGAAGTCATCTATTTTCTCATTGAACTAAAGAACAAGTATATATATGACCTATTTTAAAGGCACGTGTAGATTTATAAATACGTATAACAACTAGATATGTAGTTGTTCTCTGGAAAATATGGTCCCCCAGTGTGATACGAATGCAATTTAATTGTATAATTATATGTTTAATCTAATCTGGCCTACTATATATACTACAGCTGTAGCAGATATAACTGATATACAAGTTTTTATATAGTTTAAAATATATTATTATTAATAATTGTATTGTTTGTGCCGTAATTGCCTTTGGCGCAATATTGTTATTCGTATGGCCTGACCTTCGATCAACAGTTCTTATAATTATTCTTATAGTTGACTGAATCGAAGAGTTGCTTGTGGTGGTATCAGTCATTTATATAGAAAAATAAAAATGTTAAAACGTCATTAACAATATGTCGACTTTTCATCTTATTGTTGGCATCATAAGAGTTATTTTTCAATAAGTTAACATGTGTAATAATTCCGACTAAATTCTTCATTCATCATAAGTCATCACATCGTGGATATCGATAATAATTATCGTGAAATAAATAATAATTACGAAGCAAAAAATTATGTATTATCCACTTTGTTATCTCAACGATAGGTGGTAAATAGCAATAATATGTAACAACGATTTAGGACGCCCTATTTACGATACACAGTCCCAAGGTAGGTAGGTTTGCTGCCTTATGCCTTAGGCACAAAGTTAAAACTATTTTTCTAAAGATTTATGGGAAATTTAGGAAAATAATTTAATTATTACATGGTGATTGAATTAATGGTCCCAGTGACCCTGTTGCCACTCCTCGGCGACGCCCAGAGCCAAGGCCTCGCCGCTTTTTAGGACATGGTGCAGTCGGTATTATTAAAGAAGAAATCTAATGTTTTTGGCTGTCAATAAACCGAAAAAGATTTTGGCTGTCAATGAACCGGTCGATCACCGGTGACCACAATAGCGTTTATTAAATTCCTACAAATCTCTCATAGTAACCAACGGTTCGACATATACTTACCTAGGTGTGTAGTGTACCAAGAAATATCTCTTTTTTCTTACATAAGAACCTTCTCCTAATTATATCAAACACAACAAAAAATGAATTAGTGAAATCGGTCCAGTCATTCACGAGTAATGCCGCGAAGAAAAAAAAGGGATTCATTTTTATATATAGATCAAAAATAACCGAAAGCTACAGTACCAACGTACTTACGTCATAAAACATTTCCAAATAAATATCCCGCCTCAAAACCTCCTAAAGTCTGGATACAATGAAGAGGGGGCGAAAGGACGGTCACTGACGTCTGTGGCCCGTCGCGTCGCGTCGCTAATAGAAAACTAATCTTCTTTATTATATACCATCATTTAACCTTTATCATTTAGTCTTTATTCTACAAGATATAGCGAGAAAACTAATTGCGTAATAACTATATTTCGGCAAATTAAGAACTGCATTCTGTACTGTATCATTTATTTATTAGGTTATCCTCTTATTAAACCATTTCTGAAGTTGGTTCCAATTTCAAAACAACCAAAAACTCAGTCGTTAATAACGTTTTTTTATTTTGTTACAGATATTCGCCTGTTTACCGAATTTACAACAACATTGAGGTTGCCCCGATAAGGTGAGTTAAAGATAGAATCTCATTACAAGTTACAAAATATTCTACAAATAACACGTTAACACACTTCAAATTGACTATGACGGATATGAATAGCTCACTCGGACCTTCAAAGGACTGAATATTCATTATCTTGAATACATAATTATCGTGTACTTCATTACGTAGATATTTTATTCAATTGGTAGTAAACAGAGTAACCTTCGATTGGTTTAAAATCGGTTAATCTTGATCGTAATTTAGTTTAAAAGATTAATTAAATTGTTTCTAAAACTACTGAGACCCGCGACTATTCCTACATAGCTTTTCCAAGTTTTGTTTGGAATCGCAATTCGTGGCAATTGCTCAAATTCGTTTCGTAAAAAAGAATGTTGTGACCTCGAATGCCAGATGCTCAGTCGTTTTGCCGTGAATGCCGCTATACATGTTAAACATTCGTAGATATATTAGAAATTCATCCGCCTAAAAATCCTTAAAGAACCTCGAATCCGATAATGAAATAGTAAATGTCTTTGTGATCAGATCAACGTTTTTAAACCTAATAATTACTTTAGTATTAAACTTTAATAAACTTTTCTTTTCATAATCTTATAAGATTCTGTTTCACATTTATCAGCTGTTTGCAATTGTCTATTCTCCAAGTGTAGCATTTCGATATGCAAGGTCTAACAATGGCCATGCACATTGTACAAGAAGTGCTCGTGTGATCCGTACTCCGTGTGTATTCATGGGATGCAAACTGTCCGTAGAAAGCTTTTACTACGTGCAAACAATGGCTTTACGTCCTTTACGATTATGACGGTCGGCTGGTCCGTGCCTCCGATATGCGGAAACGAAAAATACAAAAGTTTTTTCTTCTCCTTTTTTATGTCTTTGCCTGTTTTAAAATACACCAACGGATACATTCGAACATTTCGAACGAGTAGCTTTAACGTTTGATTTTATTTTTATTCGAATTCTACAATAGATACTTTACGTTCTTTTGACTTCCGAATTGTTAATTGTTTTGATTACCTATTCATTTGCTATTAACGATTAACTACTTTTGTTTCATCATCATCAACTATTTGGGTCGAACTTGAACCGATGAGGTAATGTCCTCAGGAATTTAGAATTTTATTGAGACATCAATCAACGTTGATTATTACCTATTATTAAAAATCTAATTCTATAATAATAAAATAAGTACTACCTTCGTGCATCGTATTGAACTGTTTAGTACTGTCGTAAAATGATCGTAACCTGTCTAGAAAAGTTAGCAGCATTAAAATTCATGGCCATTTGCGACGAGAAAAACTGTGTAGTTAGAGTTAACTAGCTTTATTTTTGTACATGACGTTGATATCAGTTTGTTCTGACAATTTTTAGTAAGTAAACGAGAACTGAAATCCACCGCCTACAGATAAAGAGCCAGTGACATCTGGCGTCACCTTGGTTTATTTATATTTTGTAAACATCATTGTTACCGCGACTCCACTCATGAATTTTATGATGAAATTGAATTCGATAGAAAGTGAATCAGAGTTAATTACTTTGTTTTTATTGCCGTCATCAATCAAGTGGGAAGTGAACTCGTTGGAATGTAAACCAGCGACCAATAGCTAAAATACAAGAAATTCATTGATACTAAACGTCAATATAGATTAGTGAAAATATACGTATTCGTAATGCAGCTAATACTACTAACAATGTTGTATTCAAACATGACTATTGAACACGACTATGTATTTAGGTAAACGTGCCTACGCGCGACCTAATTTTTAACCAACTCCACAAAATAAAAGGTTATCTGTTCGACCCGAATCATGTTACATTCATATTCAAAGTTTACGTTAAAATTTCGTTAGAATAAACATAACATATTGCGTTTAGGAATTTTGGCGTCCAGAAATTAATTTACTTTTACTTTATTACGTTAAAAATCAAAATAATTTCGTATAACTACATATTTATATTAATATAAATAAATATTGGTACAAAAATAAGCTGCATTTAGGAAAAAGGAATGCTTTAAGTAATTATTACTACAATTTCCGAGAACGAGTCTCTGAATTCGAAGGATTCGAATACTAGCACAAATTAATGTTTATTATTTATCTGTGCTCCATCCACCTGCCATTTCTTTAATTAGTGCATCCGGTCAAATGTTCCTCTATTGTTTTATTTCTAAATACCCTTCTATTGTTCTTATGTTAGTTCATTCTACCTAATAATGTAATGTTATTTGCGAATGGAATGTTTATTTCTAGCGAGCATATTATTCGCTTCTTGGCTTAAAATCTGAGTGTATTATATATTTATGCTTAGATACTTATTGAATAAAAAACTAAACTGACCATCAAATATGATACTATCTTAGAGATACCAAACTCTATCTATGAGTATAGTGAGATAATCTCGTCACTTAAAGATAGAACTATGACGAATTCAACGTTACAATGTATAAAATCGGAGTTTCTTAGAAACTGTTGTATGAACTCATGACTGGCTCTTGTTGTCATGAGTTCATACATAACATTAATACGCTCGTTTTGTTTTGTTTGTTTTTAGGGTCATACACGCGTATAAGACATTCACTCCCAATTTATTGATATCAATAAACACTAAAGAAAAGCTTGTAAAATATCGGACCATCCCAACTACTCTATTCGTTTGGAAAAAAATATCCTTTTTGCATTCAAACAAGTTAAAAAGAGTCCATATTATTTTGGTAAACTTATAGTTTTAAAATGTAAAGTTACTTATGCATAAAGTATTATCGAGCGTATAATGAAACACCTTGACATTTATCAAAAAAGGCGTAGCTGTGAAGGGTATAAAGCAGTAGAAGTTCTCCCTCTGTCTCTATGTACCTATTCATCCTCAAATAATGAACTTGACCCAGTAGGTCGCCGGCTCAATGCTCACTTGTGCCACCCGGACGACCTTCGCAAAACTTTTTGTTACATTTTGTACGATTTGTTCCCAAACTGTTCAATTGTCGTTCAAGTTTTGTTCAGCCTTTCTCTATAAACTGGTTTATTATTTAGTACTTACTGAACTTGTCAGTTGTCCCTGCTACAGGCCACTATTGGTATTGGTAGGGGCGTAGCTGAAGGTTATTCTAACAAATACTTATTTTTATAAAACGGTTTTAGTAAAGATAATCTTAATGATTACCATGACAATTATTTGCTGTAGATATTCTTCGAACCATACACATACTTATAAAAAGGGCTTCAAGTTGTCAAGGTCAGTGAATTGTCTAGTTTATACGTCTAGTCCAAAATACGTTGAACCTAGTCTTCTTACAACCGAATACAAGAGCAGATGTACTTAGCACAAGGGTCGATCACGACCCTTCATATTATGCCTATGTGCTGTGAATATTTAATACGTACCCAGGCTATTTACCTGCCTCAGCAGTCATGTGAAAGATTACTAGCTACCTACGTCATTTACTTACAGTTTAAAAAGCTATAAACTGTGTAAGGTGACTGAACTGAACCTTATTATTTATTCGGAGAATAATAATGAAGAAAAAAAGTAATAATATCCATTAATTAACAATGAACAGTTTCCGCGAACTTCGGTGACGAGTTTATGAAGCGTATTTAAAATATTTCGCAGAAAGTTTATTAATAGGGTGACATGTGGCTTGATTCTTTATCGTGGTATGGGACACGGAGAGTATGGGGTGCAGTCGTGGGTGCAGTAGTCCGAGCTCTAGTAAAAAAGTGTCCGCTACATCGAATTTGATTCGCAGTGTAGCGACACAATGAAGTTACGGTGTTGTGGTGTCGCGGCCCGCGGCCGGGGCTCGGGGGCCGGGGGCCGCAGGTCAATGACGCCCCGCGTCTGGGGCCCGCAGCACCCGCCCGCCCGCCGCACCCCAGCCCCCAGCCCGCCTGAACCAGTTCTACATGTAGCTTACCGTCATCTCTATCTAGTTTACACCGAGCACCTACTTGCTTACCTGCTGAACATTCTCCTTGCCTTGCATTCTGCAATTATACAAAAAAAAACTATTAACTATTGGTGACGGTCGCGGTGGGTTCAGGTTAAACGGGTCAACTCACAACAAACAACGCTTTCCAACATACTTTTAAAAGTGAAACCGGATAAAGTGTGTTCGCTTCACTTTTCTACGGAATGGAACGACTGGCTTCACTAGTTATAAATAAAAATAATATTTCTTCGTCTATTATAAAGTGTATTTTTATTTATTCTTATATTTCTAAGGGTACTTACGTTGAAAATTGAAATTGCACAAGTTGGTAATATAAAGCCTAACTTAAGTTCTAAGCTCACACCGTGTGGCCACATGTCCGCCATCCAGCCACATCCAGACCACGATGCTTGCGCATACACGATTACACGCACGCACACACGTGATGCAAATAGTCATCTTGACAATGACAATGACATATACGAAACAAGTGACTCAAATTGAACAGTGACATCGATTTTGCAAGTCGACAAAAACTAAGATTAATTATAGTCAATTCAAAATTCGTATTGCGAGTTCGTATGCGGCACTGTGCACACAAAAACTGCAAATGATCAACGGATTAAAGTGGAGAATAGAATCAGTGAACTAGTCAAAGTCAAAACTGGAAAAGTTAGTGCGGAGCTGTTCGGCGATATCGCTACGAACGCTTTCGCAAATGGTTTCGTAACACCGAATGCCGAAAATAGTCGAAAGTTACTTCATATTTTTTGTCCTCACGCACGTCTCGCTTTCCGGTCGCTATATGAAATTGTTATCTTTTTCTTTTTCAGCCCAAACCCACTGGTTTGCCACATTTGCATTCAGGTATGATAAATAAGCGATTAGTTTATCGTTTGATTAATTTACTAAAAATAGGTGCCGTGTAATCTCTTTATCTTTTAAAATTGCAAAAGGTTAAATGTAAAATGTGATGAAACCGAAATGTTCACTATTTTCACTACTGTGATATATAAAACGGATCATTAATCACTCGCGCTACTCCGCCGATTAGCGTTATACACCTAGTAATGGA